TATTTTTAGTTTTTTAAATTTAATTAAATAACTTATTTTATATTTAATATGAAAAAAAAATGCAAAGTACTATTTTACCCTTTTAATTTGGTCAAAATATTTACTTTTCTGATGAACTAACAAACTTAAATGGATGAAATTCATCCATTTAGATTCCAAATGCATGTTTATGAAAGGTTAGAGAACTTTAAAATTAAAAAAGTTTGAGACCGCTTCTCCAATTTTTCCAAACATAAATTGATATTTATTCATTCAAAATATAAAGTTCAAATATACATTTAGACAGACATTCCAACACAATATCCATTATAAATCATCTTATACTTCCAAGTTCAGTAGGGGTCTACCCACGCTTTCTACAAAAATATAGTCTACTCCTAAAAAATTTCCATTTAATTATAAATTATCTCATTAATATCAATTAACAGAAATTTCCCATATTTAAGGGACTAAATTATCAGGCAATTTCAAAATCTCTTTCTCGTCTCATCAATAGTAAACCATTGTCCAATTCTTCCCTTCATCCTTCCCCTATTACCATTTGTAATCTGAACAAGAAATTCCCCAGCAATTGCAACATGCCAGGCCACAAGCGTAATTCAGGTTTCAAATCTCAGCATTCATTCAATCAAAACATACAGAACACAAAATTAGGCTGAGAAATTTTAAAAATCCAATATCTTCCAAAAAGCATGGATCAGTACAAATTAGGACAAAACATATCATAAAACCTAGTACTTTTAGATCCCATTTGATCTAAGGAAAAAACCTCTCATTTTACATGGAACAACATTCAATGCCACGTCTGAGATTAAAATACAATTTGCATTGTATCAGAGGATTCGGTCCTGAATATCCGTAAATATATTGGACGCCAGGGAGGTGAGCTTCTTCCCGGTTTCTCCTGCAATATTCTTAAGAGAGGAGATATCTTGCTGTGCCTGTTAAATACCGTTAAATATTGGATACAAATCAGAGATAGATTAACCAGGGAAAGAAATCTCAAACCAAAATGATGCCCCGGGTATGTTTAGTAGACAGGAAAAGACAGTAGAGGGCAGGATTATGGAAAACAAGTTAAAATCTCGTATATTGTCCTGTCCATTACAATATAATTCAATGCATCAAACATTTCATGCCCCATTTGTACCTGAAAAGACAGCCGGTTAATGAGATCGCTAGCTGTGAGATCAACAGATGAATTACTGGCATCGTGGCCAAAGAGATCAGCACTAGAGATTGATGCCGAACCCTAAAATTGAAGAGAACAAACAAACGTGAATTCAGCATACAGAGTCCTTGAAGACAACTAATATTTCCACCAAACAAAAAGACCAGTTTCATGTAAAATGACATAACCAAAGATTGTTCAGAGTGGATTAAGGAAAATATTCGTAAGGAGTAATTGAATGAAAAATAATATAATGTAATAACAAAGTACTAATCATATCAATTTCGAGCGTGAAATGAACGGATACTTAATTGGAAATGCAAGAGTTCAAGTATATTCTTTTTTTTTTTTTTATGACCATGGGTGTCCAGACCAACTCACGCGCACCTCGACTACTCTCACCGGGCCTTGCAGTTTACAGCCAGCTACTCACCTCAGTGACCCTGAGAAGACTCGAACTGGTGACCATTGGAGAGCAAACTCAAGACCTGACCACTGAGTTACCCCTCAAGGTTAAGAATTCAAGTATATTCTTATTAAATACAATTTTACAAACTGATGAATCCTTATTCCTTAACAAATATATAAACATAGAGAACACTTTGTATCTCTGGATTTTATTTTTATTGTTAAAAAACTTTAAATCCATTACAAATTTGATGAACTAAATAATGAGTACGGTTTTGAAGTTGGACCAACTATAGATAAACCTTAAATTTATAATCATGGTGGACAAGGAACAGTTTTACCCCTGATTTAAAGATCTATGAAATGTTGGTATGCCAAGTCTCTGGCTATATAAACATTCTAAAAATTCTAATCTAAAATTTAAGCAATAACAATCATATATTATAGTCACTTCATAAATAAATATGACCAATAAAACAGTTATTATCATATAAAAGTCAACAAACTCCAGGATGCCAGGAAAGAGAGACCCATGAAATTTAAAGAAATGACTACCCAATTCACCCAAAAGACAATAAAAACAGAAGATTAAGACATATTAAGGATAACAGCACATACAGAGAACTTTTGCAGGGAAGCGGATGCTTCCATATCATTTGCTTTGTTCACACCAAAAAACTGTGCCGATGATATGGACTTTGCATTAGAAAATTTCTTCCTTGCTTCATCAGTTTCCTCAACCTGATATATATAGGTGAAAGAACTATGTTGAGATCTTGTGCACTGAAAGGAAGCATGCATCGGTAACCTCCAATCGTGCAGAACCACAACTCAATTGAAAACTCAGAGATGGATATAAGGAAAGCAAAAAAAATTAAATAAGAAAATCAGCTTTTGACTTGCGTTTTTACTAGGAATTTCATGTTTCAATCCAACTTTCATTTAAATGATGCCATAAATAGAAGGCAGGTGACCTTATAAGACAGTCAACAAATAAAATATTTTTTTATCCATTTATTAGATCTTAATTTCCTATTACACAAGACATCAGAGATATTTTCTTTCTACGTTAAGAATAACAATTACTGAAAACTGATTCAGTTTCACCCTATGATAAGGGAAAAATATTAACTTACTTGTACTTTGGTCGAGTTCATGCTACTCTTCTTTGGGAAACCAATGTCCATGCCATATTCAGAGAAAAAGTCAGATGACTTGGGTGGAGTTACATGGCCAACTACATGAGCACCTCCAGGACTCACATCAGCAGGTTGAACATTGTCCGAATACTCAAATCGAGATGCAAAAGATGAAGCAACTTTGGGGGTGCCATTGTTTGAAGAAGTGCCTGAGGAAACCTGTACAGGGGGGAGCTCTTCAGGCTTCTGGTCGTAGAGACCTTCACTAGGCTGCATTGGGAAAAAGGCATTCAGATATTCAGTAATCATGGAGAATTAAACAATTATCACCTCCATATTGAGATATAATATGTAATTTGAATCATTTGGTTCTTAGCAAAACGGAAAAAACCTAATCTTTACCTTAGTAGTAAGCTTTCTAGCACCGAGGCCCCCCACCTTCCCAGTTTTCTTTGCACCAAGAGGCTTCCTCATGATCGTTGTGACAACTGTTTGAGAGGTTTTTGTTGAAGCAGAAACCTCCGTTTTTTCGGACTTTACTGAAGAACTTTCTTCTGGTGAATCATTGACAGAACTTCCTGTTGGGACTTCACTGATCTTACTATCAGGAAATTTGTTAGAAGGTTGTATTGATTCAGATGCAACAGGAGATGAAGGTAAAACTGCTTCTTCTGCATTACTTTTAGCAACTTCTTTTGAAAGCAACTGCTTGTATAACTCAGCAGCCCTTGATGTATATTTGGCCTCAATCTTGCCTCCATCGGTCCATCCATGCTGCTTGAAGAAAACTTGCGCACGGTTATTTCCACCAAAGGCCATCATTTTCAGCTGCTCAGGAGTCCATGAATCTAAATTTGTAGATCTACAATGATAAATTGGATAATTGTAAGATTATGAGTCGGAATATTTTCAAATAATAAATGAAGAGGCTAGATGGGATGATTAGAGCAACATACCAGGCTTTTGGGAGTTACAAAAACAAATTTCAAAGACCCATAAGAGAATTGGGGCTATTATTGTAATATTATGAGTCGGAATATTTTCAAATAATAAATGAAGAGGCTTGATGGGAAGACTAGAACAACATACCAGACTTTTGGGAGTTACAAACCAATAAATTTCAAAGAAAAACCAATAAGACAATTGGGGCTATAAAGAAAGATTAAAACAACACCAGTGCAGAAGATACTGATGAATTTTTTCTATAGAACTAGAAACTGTACAAAACAACCTGGTTCCTACCTCTTCCAGTTTCCTGCTTGAAAGCCAGTGTTTTAATGAGAAGGTATTTGAAGAATAAAATCTATCACCGTTGACAAGTTACAACATGAGCAATTCCATATTTCCACTGTCCTATTTTCTGTTTCTTTTTCCTTGTTTCCTCATTATTGTCTCCATATGTATATATTTTTAAATTGTTGCCCACTTACTTTGACCTTTCAGTTTTTCAGCACCTCCTTCCCAAAATATCTCCATATTTTTGGTATCTACTTGCCCAACACCTCCTCTTTCTTACTCTCCTTTCTTCTTCTTCTTCTTCTCTTCCATTCAATCTATTTCTTTGCATGTGCACGTGTTTGGATATCATCCTTCTTCAAGCCTGATGTGATTTTCACATTAATAGGTGCACTAAACAGAGAGGATCCTATATAAGTAGTGAATGCTTAAAAAGTCAAAGTTAACATGGCATGGCAGCAGATGCAAAAGTTGGAATTTCAAGGCCTTAAGGATATGCTTGGATAATGTAATAAAAGAGAAAGTTGCTCGAACACTTAGATAGAGGTCTTTCGATGCACATACATTCCAAGATGATGGAGAAAATATTATGAGAAAAGGAGAAAAATCCAAAATTCAAATGCAATGTAGTTCTTGGATAGGATTCGATGCCATAACTTGCCAGCAAATATATCTTTATTTCTCTATATTAATATGCTTAGGGTAGCATTTCAGCTAGTGCTTTACTGTTGGGTGCTGTTACAATATCCTTAGGGTATGAAACTAGGCGTTGCAGGATGGGAATATGTCTATAGATATGTATCACAGCTGGTAGCATCAGTTTTTATTTTTGAAATATGCAGCAGTTAGATGCACTAGTGGCTTCCTAATGGGAATCTTAGTAGAGAACTTATATGGAATACTTTCCAAATTCGATAATTATTTTAGCAAAAGTAAGCACGGTTTTATTTAATAGATTTTCTAGTATTTTATTAGTAGTTTACCATCAAAATTAGATTAGTAAAGAGGGTCTTTACATTATAATATTTAGACTTGAATATTGAATAAACTCTTACTTTCTCCCTTTGAATTCTCTATATATTCTCTTCCCTTTCTTCTCTCCTTCTCCCTCTCTTCCTCTTTCTTTCTCAATCTCATTCTTGTTCAATTATATTCTATGTCACATCCTATCTGAAGAGAACTTGAGCTCCGAATTTCTTGGTCCCCAAGATAGCATCTTCGATATAAGTTTGATATATTAGATGATACATGCTTCGAGGGTAGAAGAAGTATCAATTATCCAAGACATCTTAGTCACGTTTTCTTCCCTTCAGGTAAGATGCAGTAAAATTCTGTATATTGTAGCTGGTAGCATCTGGTCTTTTTTCAAATCTTCAGCTGTATAGTTTGATGTATTAACTGCTTTGAAGGCAGAAGTATCAGCTATCCCACATATACATTATACACGCCCTTACACCTCCACCCTTTTTCTCTTACTTCTCCTTCCCTCTTCCCCCCAACCCAAGAAAATAAAAATAAACGTACAAAAGTTGACTCTGCAGAACTCACGTCCAAGCTTAACTCTTCACTGTCATCAACACTGTAATCTCCATTAATCAGCATTTGCCTTGAAAACCACCTTAGAACATGAATTTCCCTATAATATTACTAGACATAAAGTGGTGAAATAAAAATCCAGCAGTGGAAGACTTACTGATCTTCTGCAAGATAATTTATTACCACAACTGCCTTCGACTGCTATGACAAGCTGTAAACGAGATGAGTTTTATTTGCCAAGATGAAGCCAGTAAATGTGTGGTTTTGAAGGTGATTTAAAAGATAGGGATATCTGCTTATAGTGTAAACCATCATATATCCCTGATAAGTTGTTTGACCAACCAGACAATCTCGAGCAAAACTTGAATTAAGACATACAGTTCAGGTTCTATTTGGATAGATATGTAACAATGCAGCAACAAAATTTAACCAAGAATGTAACCTTGCATCAAAAGAAAGAAATTCACCTGTCAATTTCTGTTGAGACTTAATTCATGCTCCAGTTGTCATTTTACACAATCTTCATATTTTAGTTATAGGTTGAAGAATATTCATGATAAAGAGAGTACATTGTGCTTCTCTTATGATGCACGCTAGAAATTTAAGTCCACATGAAAGCATTCTATCATTTTACTGCCTCAAAGAGTGCCAATGGACAAACTTTTCCTGCTTCAAATGGGTTTTTTTGAGGCAGGTGTCCCTAGAAACTAATGAAGTCAAATTTTTTGCAAGGATCCATGGCTTCTTTAAGTTGCCTATATTTTCAAAACTCAAAATTTTGCTTGCCTGCCAGATCATTATAGTTCCCATCCATCTAACATTAATAGATAATTACAAGTTATAATATTTATCAATTAATTAAAATAATTGTAGCATAACAAAAGAAAATTCAGGTTTGATATGACAGTTAATTCAACTTCATTGCATATCTGCACGATCAACTAAAATGTACAGAAACACTCAAAACAACACAGATTGGTTACTCTGAGCTGATAACAAATTCTTCAGCACAGGGAGGGTATCAGTAGAGTGAATAAATGTAGAATAAATAAATCAAATTTGTAACAACTCAGATTTTCCAAATGGCATTCTTTAATAACTGCCAAGCCTCCTATGTTCTGGTAATAAATTAATCATCCACATTAACTTAACAAAAATAATAATAACACATTATTAGTGCATCTTTATGAACTTTCCAGTAGTTCATTATTCAATACTGATACCCATGCTACTCAACTTAACATAATTCTTGTGACTATTAGGATAAGATCCTCTTAATTACAGTAACAGGTGTTGAAACTGAATGAGTTGTAGAATTTCAGCAAACTACAGCTATTTCTTCCATTGTATTTCCAAAAGGTATGATACACTTTCTATTTAGAAGAATATCAACATTTTCGGTAAATTTATAACCTTTAGTTACACAATTCTCTATGGAAAAAAATAAAATAAAATCCACTTTTAAGAACCTACCATCCATTAAAGTTTGACATTAGTTTGAAAAATATAAAATAAAGACTTCAGTAATAAATCCATAAAATAATATTAAGTAAATCCTTCTTTTTCAAACACTCATTTTTCCAGAAAAAAATAATAAATAAATTTACTATTCCACACATTTTCATTTCAAAGGAGCCAAATGGGGGCTAAATTGCCCCTTCATAGAATTATCTATTTCACACCTAGAACCATTTTAGCCCATGGCGCAATACTCTTACGAGTATTAAAATATCAACAGTACAACCAGGTTTAAAAATCTCCAGATTTGATCCTAAAAAATCATCTGATCAACAACAGAACGAAATTAGCAGAATTTTCATTCAAATAAAAAATACCTAACGAAGCTGACGTGAACGCCGAGGCTTCGGTGAACAGCAGAGCAATCAATACACAGGAAGATCCCGTACGTCACCGACGCCCAAGTAGGATTCTTCGCATTGCAATCGAAACACATCTGCAAATAAACAAAAAGCAGATCCAAACAAAAAACGTGCAGATCTGAATCAGATCTCAGTATTTGCAATCGAAATTTCGAATAAAAGAAAAAAATTCCAAGAAATTAAAAACAAGGCAAACCTTGTTATCGGACTTGGCTCTGAGCTTGCGAAAAACAGCGTTTTTATCGGTGTAATTATCGGAAGCCATAGCTATACTAACACAACTCTGTTTATGAAATTTATAAGAATATATGCTATTATCTATAGATAGAGTGTGTGAATATGGAGAAGCAAGGAAGGAGGGAGGGAGGGAGGCTCCGAAAGGAAGTGAGAAAGAGACCTCCCACAGAATGCAGAGAAAATACGAAAGAGAGCGAAATGAAAAACGAGAAATATATGCGAAACGGCTAATCTATATCTGTAATATATTTTTATACTTCTTGACGATTGTAGCCTTACTTTTAAGGCCCAATTTCATTGCAACGACTAAAAAGGCAAATAAATTTCATATAAGTTAGAAAACAAAAATTCATCAAAACTTCATAAATGTATTTTACATTTAATTGGCCAAAAATATACTTTAACTCGTTATATTTTAGAATTCGAACTTCATTTTCACTTTCGTATCAAATGGTCAAAGTATAAAATGAATTTTTCGAATGTAACATTTTCCATGGAACCGAAATCAATCAAACGGACCCTAACTCAATTATTTCAATAATACATACTTTTTTTTTTCAATATATATTTATTTAGTTACTGTTTGAACAATATTATTATTAATTATTTTTTCAACTACTTAATTAACATCAATAATACATACTTTTCGTTGAATTTTTTTGAGATATTATTTCTTTTTGAAACATCGACATAGAAGATAACCGTTATATTATGGCTTTAAATAAAGTTTTAATTTAATATGAGAAAGTTTATATTATTTTTTAATCTATTAAAAAAAGGCAGCCAGGTAATTAAAAAACGATTTTAAAAATCCTATATTGCTCGATCCAATAATCCTAACTGATTTCTATTTCCTAATATCAAATAAAATTCCTATTTACATAAATTATTATCATGAATGATTTTGTCAATTTTCATATTTATTAGTATGAAAATGCATTTCAAAAATCGTTCAACTTTATTTTCATTAAGTGGAACTCAATTTCATTAATTCTCAATTAACTTGAATTCATGCAGTACGTTCCAATATTCATTGTACTTTATTAACAGCAAGTGGAACCTAATTTCATATCTATAAGTTTCATGTTCATGTATTTAAGAGGAATTCGATTTCTTTAATTGACAGCTTACTAGAGTTCATATTTATGTCTATAATTCAAAACCTTTTTAAGTGGATCTATTTTTAGTTTGTAGAATCTAGTTAAGAAAAATGTAAAGGGTGAGTGTTGTATAGACGGTGAGATTGGTGTGTGCATATACGATATTCTTATTCATAGACGTGTACGACGAATTTTGTGTATTAAAATACAGAAATTATTACAAATTGTATTTTGAAAAATACAAATGAATATTAATTATCTTGTAATTGCAAAATCATTTGATTAATGATTTGAATGTTTGAACACAAGGGGCCACGTGACTTGAATACTAGATTTCGAGATTTGTTGAGAACTTGACTTGTTTGCCACTTGGATCTTGGGGTTTGAATTTGAACTTTGGAACTTGAACTTAAATTTGATTTGATTTGAAAAAAACTTTAATCTTCCTGGACTTGATTTGGAATTGCTAAATTTGAAGAAAATTTTGATCTTTTTAATGTTCGTCGGACTAAGACTTTAGATGTTTCATCTCTTCCTCGGGCTTTAGGATTTCTTCAGGATTTATGATTTTCGTTTGTACTTTTCCTTGTTAAATTTTGTGGACATTTGGTTCTATTTATAGGGAAATTTGTGCCAATTTGGTAATCATCTAATTAATTTTAATTAAAAAGAATAATTGAATAATTATGGATTTTAAAAGAGTGGGTCGGGCCTTTAATTTTTTTTTTTGTTGGCATTAGTAGATTTTATTTTAATAAATTTAATTGGGCTAATTATTTAGATCGATCCAATCCATTTTTTTATGTCCACAAGTGTCTGCTCATGATTTATTTATTGATTATGAAATAACCAGTGTTGTCAAAATCGGACTGGACTGGCCGGTTGAACCGAAAAAATCGGGAACCGGTCGAAAAATCAGTTCGGTTATGCTAGTAAAACCGTTCACTCAAAAATCGGCATCAAAACCGCTAAACCAACCGGCTAACTGGAAACCGGTGACCCGGAAGCGGGTTTACGAGTTGATTGGTTATCAAGTTACAGAAAAGAAAAAAATCTGGCCATTTTTCGATTTCTTTCTAAATCTTGAAGTGATTCTAGCCTTTTTCATCTTACCTTCAATGAGACTAAAAGAAGACTGCTATTGCTTTATTTTCCATCTTTTTTCTTTGAACGAAGTTTCTCCTTCATCTTCTGCATTCTTCATCTGGTGAGTAATGGCAGTCTCTGTTAATTCCCAAATCAGGAAAATAGATGACTTCCACACCGTTTTTGTTTACAATTAAATCTCGATAAAGTAATACCCTCGGGACCGGAAAAAAATATTCATTTAGCGAGATTATTTATTTATCGATAAATGAATAAATTATTCATTTATCGATAAATAAATATTTATTATTTTAGAGAGAGTTTTTCAATATAAAATATGTACATCGTATGTGGTAAGAAAAATCAAATGACACTAATCAAAGTATTATTTGAATCTAGGGAAGCTCAAAAGTTTTAATGAAACTTAATGTCTCTAAAAACTAAGTTCACGTACATAGCAAATGAAAAGGTTTAGTCTTTACCTATAAAAGTTAGATGTTTGGAAGACATATTCCAAGCACATACAATATTTTGTTTCCCCTCCAATGTCTTCTCATCATTTGAAAGGAGTAAAAAAAATCAACTTTAACCGATAAAATGAGGAGTGCAATATGTGAGCATAAGAAAGAGAATCCAACTATTAGCCAAAAAGATATGCAAGCATGGGTGCAACAAAAGTTTGATTTGACTATTAGTCAATCAACAATATCGAACACTCTCAAAAGGGCGTCGGAATATTTGTCAAATGAGATGAAAAATAGCGATGTTAAAAGGTACAAATCGGCAAAATACCCTGATTTAGAGAAAGTCTTGTATGAGTGGTTTCTTCAAATGCAAGATAAAGTGAACATGTCTGGAGAAATTATCTAAGGAAAAGCAAAAGAGCTTTTTGCAAAAAATGTATGGTAAAACTAATCCAGAATTCAGCTTTTCTAGTAAATGGTTAGAACGTTTCAAGGCAAGATATGGAATCAAATCTTACCGACGTTTTGGTGAAAGTGGTTCAATTATCATGGAGAACATTGAAAATGCTTTACCTGGAATACGATCAAAACTATACCAGTTTCAATTGAAGGATGTTTACAATATGGATGAAACTGGATTATTTTACTGATTGGAAGCTGATCATTGACTTGCTAACAAGCAGCTCGAAAGACGCAAAAGAGATGAGGAGAGAATTACTGTTGGTGTTTGTTGCAATGGCGATGGATCTGATAAAGTACCATTTTGGGTTATTGGTAAGCATGCAAATCCTAGATACTTTAAAAATGTGAACATGAACAATCTTAATTGCAAGTATCGATCTAACAAGAAAGCTTGGATGACTGACTTGCTTTTTCAAGATTTTGTTGGTTGGTTTGATAAGAGAATGAATGGCAGAAAGGTTCTCTTAATAGTAGACAATTGCCCAACTCATCCAAAGGTAGTTGAAGGCTTGAGAAATGTAGAGGAGTTATTTTTCTTACCTCCTAACACAACGTCTAAGATTCAACCATGTGATGCTGAGATTATTCGAGCATTCAAAACTCATTATCGTCGTCATTTTTATTCTAGCATCTTACAAGGCCTTGAGGTTGAAGCACCGAATCCCAAAAAAAATTAATATTTTGAATGCTATTAATTTTGCTAACATGGCTTGGAATTTTGATGTGAAGACAACAACAATTGCAAATTGTTTTTGGCATTGCAAGATTCGGTCAGAGGAAAACAATGTTCCCGAACCAGAAGTTGATGAATTAGATGAAGGTATCCAAGGATTAAATGATGTCATCTCTAATTTACACTATATAAATGTGATGGATGTTGAATATCTTTTGAACTATCCTAACGAGAATGATGCAGTTATGGAATCACCTACAGTCGAAGAAATTATTCAATCGGTAATGAACAGTAATGATGATGAGAATGATTCTGAACCAGATGATAGTAGCGTTGTCCCAAATGTGTCGTCAAAAGAGGCATTTCAAGCAATAGTCACATTAAGCAACTACTTACTACAACACGAGCAAAATATTCCGGAAGTTGTGTATGCTCTACAAAAAGTTAAGGATGGGGTTCATTTTGGTTTAGGTGGGAAGAAAAAACAATCAACTATAAATGCATATTTTCAAAAGGAATGATTATTGTACGAGTATTGTTGATTGATTGAAAGATTTTGGTCTATATATATATATATATATATATATATATAAGGATTCAATTTTTTTTATTACTTAATGCATTTAGCGATGTTATTACTTTAGTCCATTGGCCCAAGTCGAGATCGAAAGAAATTATTATATAATCGAGATTATTACTTTATCGAACATTACTTTATCGAGGTTTAACTATAAAAGAGTGGGTGGGTCCCATCACTTTATAGTTTAATATTATTTTCCTTTTATATTGCAGTAAGGTACTGCTAAAGAATATTTAACTACTGATAATTAATTAGCAATAAGTGCATTTGTTAATAGTATGATTAAATTGGTATCATTGACTAATTAGATTTGAATTTTTTTTTTTTTGAAAGGATATTTTTCAATATTTTTGCCAATCGGATATTTTTCAATATTTTTACCAATCGGTTCAACCCCGGTTCGATCTCGATTCAACATTTTGACCCTTGACCCTTTATCTTTTTCGGGTCGATGTACGGTCCGATTTTAGAAACATTGGAAATAACTAAATTAATAAATCTTGATTTTCAAATTCTTTAAATTAAATTCAATTCTAAATTTGATTTGAATTCGAACTTTCTATTAGTAATTTGATACAAATGGAAAATTTGAGAATAAACTATGAATTTGACTTAGAATAAAATTCTTTTCCTCCAAATTTGAGAACAAGGTTTTTTTACATGAATGTTTTTTGATTATTTATTTATTTTATATAATTCATAGCTAATTTGATTTTGAACAGGTTTTATATTTTATGGTAAGTTGGGCTTAGAATTTTGAGGTTTGAGACTTTCTTTATGTAGAGATTAAATTTTTCGCACTGCAATTATTTTATGAATTCAGACAATATTTACTTATGAACAGGC